CTTTTAATTTTTTTGACCAAAAATTTTCTTCTTTTAATTAAAATAATTTGGTTTTTGGCATAGAATAGTACTGGCTGATATAAATTCAAGTTGTGTCAGATAATGACTGAAGAAAAACTTCCGCAACATGATTTTTTTTCTCGTCTACGAAATTCCAATTCAAAACATTGCTTAAGAGAAATTTGACAACTATAAGTCATAGAAGTCTAAATTTAGCATCTAACTATGTTTCGAATAAGAAATTAGCCTCAAATGGGAAGTTTAATACCAGTTGAAAACCTATTCCATGCGCTCTCCGATATTAAATATGGACATTTCTCTTAATATTATTTAATTTTTGATCCCCATGTGTGAAAAACTTGTCTCTTCTACTAAAATCAAACAAAAGAGGAATTCTATTTCGACTTACATAAAAACAATTTCTTTTTCTATTATGTATAGATATTCTCTTATTAGAAGCAGTTCTATTTGAGATAATATCAAGTACTAAATATAGATACTCTCTCAGTAGAGATTCGAACAATCTTTTTAAACTGCTTCCGGAACCTCTCAAACACCCTGACATCGAATTTGTCAAACAAGAAAGCACATCTGCCTAGCCAAAAATAAAAATAACAATTTTAAGATGGGCTTGAGAGGGTCTAAATAAATAAGACGTTTGGGCCCATATGTCTTGGGGACATTTTTTTTATTGAAAAGAGAATTCATTAATTAAAAATGACCAAAAGGGCCGCCCTGATTTACAAGAAGACGGTCTTGCCCTGCTTTTTTTTTTTGATAAGCTAGAAACAAAGGACAGGTGCGGAAGGGAAAGCAAAACAAGACAAGGTGCGAAAAGACAGGTCATGCAATGCTTAGCGGTAGAGTGAAACGAATTAGATCCAAAAAAATTTAACAAAAAAGGATCCCTCCATAACATTATATTATTTCATAATCTTTTAGACACAAATTAACAACAACAAAAATCCATTAATTTCTTTAGTTTTTCTTGGAATATTCTGAACATAATAAGATGGACGTATTATCCTATATTTGGATAGAGAAAAAATAAAGGAAGAAAAAACAAGTGGAGGAGAAAATAGAGGGGAATATAGTGCTTGTTTGTTTTTTTTTTTTGTTTTCTTAGTCTCAAAATTTTTTTATAAAATTGTTTTTAAGAACAAGTTTTGGCAACAAAGAACAAAAAATTTGTTTGAAAAATAAATTTTAAAAAAATCACATTTGAAAAAAATAAAAAATCACTCTGTGACAAGTGATAGTAAGATAGTAGAGGAGAAGAGAAGAAGATTTTTTTAATTTTTAAAAATAAAAAATAAAAAACACAAAAGCAAAAACAAGGAAACATGTAAAAATTGTTTCGTTTTTTAGGTTTTAAAAACATGTTTTGTTTTTTTTTTAAAATAATCAACTAAAAACAAATTACTAAACAAGTTTTTCTGTTTTTCTATTTTAAAAAAAATTATTTTCAAATAAGAAACCAAACAAGCCCATATTTTTCTTGTTGGGATAGCAAGGGGAAAAAAAGAGAAGTAACAAATGTGGATGAGAAAACGTAATGTGAAACCTGTATGTTTTCTTTTTCAAGGTTTTTTCTTTAAAAGTAGACAGATTTTAGGAAGAAAACATGCTTCATAGAATTATTTCAAATTAGATAAAAGAGGTATGTGATCGACTTACACCTTTTTCATGTGTATTATTGTCATTATGAAATTAGCATCTTTCTTTTATACTAAAGTGCAAGAAGAGATGAAGTGCCTCTTAAATAAGGAGGAAAAAATGTGTGTTAAATTGTTAAGTCAAGAGGCTTCAGAATAAAATACTAAAACTAATATTAAAGGGCCAATTACGTAATAATATCCTGTGTGCGTGAAATTTTCAAAAAGATACAACTTTAAAAGTAAATTGTCTTAGTGATAACACTATCCGTCACGCTTAAATCAGATTTCAGGTTTAAACATGTGTTTGAAAAAAAATGTAAAGCAGAAAACTGAAGGATGTGACAAGAAATGATTCTCATGTGATATGCTGAAAAATCAATTATGGTACTGAAAAATGTTTGTTAAATTGTTAAGTCAAGAGGCTTTAGAGCTTAGAATAAAATACTAAAACTAATATTAAAGGGTCAATTACGTGATAATATCCCGTGTGCATCAAATTTTTAAAAAGATGCAATACATTTAAGAGTAAATTGTTTTAGTGATAATACTACCCGTCACGCTTAAATAAGATTTCAGGTTTAAACATGTGTTTGAAAAAAAATAAGGCAGAAAACTAAATGATGTGACAAGAAATGATTCTCATGTGATATGCTTAAAAATCAATTATGGTACTGATATGATTAAGACTCAAGCCCCATACCTTACAATGAATCCCAACCAACACAAAGAAGGTTGTACCATTTCCTAGTCATGTGACATGCTCAAAACCAATAATTATACAATAAAGGACACTGATTGGATGAATAAATCCGTGGGTTTGAATTTTTGTGAATGAAATAAATTATGTTGGAAGTTGGAACCATATATTTAGATTTAACACCACTTAAATTATAATTAATTAATAACAAAAATTATATAGTTATAAAAAAAAGTAAGAACAAAAAGCTTTCCCCCCATAATGTTGACTTCCAAATTTTTAAAGCATCATTTAAAGGCATTGTCCTTTACCCCTTTTTGCTTTGCTCAAAAAGATTACAAAAGGAGAAAATTAGACCAACCCACTTCAGAAAAGACTATTAGTGAACACATTCTTTTCATCAGTTTATTTTTTTCCAAAAAGTACACACACACACACACACACAAGGCCATGACAAGAATGGTGCAAAAAATATAGAATTAGATCATAGCATTATTCAAAAGATCTTAACCCTCATTAGGTGGATCTTAAGATTCTCTAGATCATAACAGTATTCCTTACTTGGCAAATTTGTATGGTTAATCAGCTTATAAAAAGAGGAATGACATTAAAAGTCCAAAATTAAAGTTTAAATAGTTTTTCTCTATATAACTTTAAGAAGATCATATGTATAAACTTAAAATTTAAAGAATATAAAAGATATAATTGCGGGTTATCTACATATACTTAAAACTTCAGGGAGGTTTATTATTAACTACTTAAAAGTTAAGGGAGTTATTTGTATATAGTTTAAAATTTTAAGAAGTTTTACATAATTTGGCTTTTTAATAAACATCATGGTATGATTATTTTTTTGATTCCTTGGAAATAATTTCTGTAACCGTCATTAGCGCAAATTATACATTATTAAAACGGTCATTTTATCTTATGAAGACATGATTAGAGCAATAAGTTAACAGCACGATACAATTTTTAAACAAAAGGGGGGGTGAGAATAATTTGAAATTTTAAGTGCCAAAGGAATAAAATTAGTTTTCTCAACAAAACCAAAGAAACATAAATCACTCCATATAGGAATCAGAGATTCATAGTAATTGATCCACAAACATACAATACAGTGATCCACACACAATACACAAATCAAGAGAAAGTAAACCATGTGCCAGTCATAAAGCTGGAATACATTCAAATTTCAAACCTGCCACACCATTATCACACCCCAATTATTCACACACACATAAACTCACTCAACTGAAATACACAGCAGCATCAGGAAAAAGACACCAACAACAATCAACCCGCCTCTCAATTACAACCTAGAAACTAGAAGAGCTTGTCATTTTCCAACATCAGCATGTAAAACAAAGCAACCTTTTACCACAAATGGTGCATTTGAGAGAGAGATAAAGGGAGAGGGCCCCAGCACAGACTCATGATGATAAATCACGCACCATCTTCAAGCACTCCTCCAACATGTGAAACTTTGTTGGTGCTTTAGAATTTATGCCAGCATGATATGCGTGCTAGCTTGAAAGAGAGGACAACAAAAGCATAACAACAAGAATGAATAAAGGAGGGTGGAAAGTGGGACCCCAGTTACCTAACGCGCATGCATTCAACCAAGAGGAAAGTTCAACACTTGAGGGGAAAAAAGCGTCCTCATTTACAGCATAGCCCACCACCACCTTCTCCCGTCCCCGCAACCTGTGGCCTCTGATCTTTAACCCTCCGAAAAGCTAAAAGATAATAATTCTGGTCCATACAACCAATCCCCCATTTTCTCTGCAATCCCAGAGGCAAGATATAGTACTAGTTATTACTGCTTCTGTTCACCAGCTATATAAATAGAACCTCGAGAAGGAGGATTATAAAATAAAATAAAATAAAGAAAAAGGAGCATGCTGATTCAAGCTTGGCCATTCTAGTCTCCCACAGCAAACATACAAGAACAGCAGCGAACAGTTAAATTTAATAGTCTTTCAATCCAAATCCAGGAGTACCACTTCGGGACATCAAAGATTTCAAGTATTCAATGGTTCCATCAATGACTGAGAGGGGCTCCTTTCCCTTTGCTCCAGGAACTAGGTTCTCAAGAACTTTCAATGATTCACGGATCTTATCCTTTTTAAAATGAGTATTACCCATCATTGAATTCTCTTCCCCCCTAGTTTGCTTAGCAGAATACACTTGGCTGGTGGAATTCTTCGATTCTGCATCACTGGTGTAGTCACAAGACTCGTCTTGTCTTACTGAAATACCACTGTTGATTGGCGATGATCTCTCCAACCCATCATCATTTAACTTCTGCCTTTATTCGGCTGGTCCGAGCTTGCAACCTCCTCCTTCATATTCTCAAATTGATCTTGCATCACGCACGGTCTTTTATTGCTAGTGGAGAACAACCTGTACTTGCAACCTCATCATCATCACTATGATAATCAACATCTTCGTCTGAGTAAAGCAAGGCATTAATTTCTTCTGTGTCCTCATGCAGTTCACTTTCCTCAACATTAATATGATTTTCATTACGGTCTTCTGGTAAACTGTATTTCATTGGATAATTTTCATCTGTACTAGCTGCCTGTCCCATCTTAGTTTCACCAGAAGCTTGAATAAATTTAGAGGGAGCAACATTTGGACTATGAACCAAGGGGAAAATTGGGCTGTAGAACAGCCTCGTCTTATCACCAGACTGGTCAAAAATAAGAAACTTTTTCTGTAAAGATGCAGGATTCTCGTGTGGCATGGCCCCTCCAATATCACTTTCTTTCAAACATTGTTCTGAAACTGATTGGATATCTCCAGAGTGGTGATGGTTGGGATACTGCAGGAATCCTCGCAATTCCTCTGTTTGCACAGTCCCAAGATTCAAGAAACCAGGAAATGTGAATCCAGGAAAGACCTTGTGTCCAGGAAAGTTGCACATGCTAGTATTTAGGTCTGCTGGAAGGCCACATAACCTTGGCTCCCGTGATGTGGGGGAGCAATTTAAATGATGTGCTTGCCAAGCCACATTCTGTGGACAAGGCCAGGAGCTGTCAGCCTTAACCATCCAACAAAACAATGACCTACAATACATAAAAACGATCACTCAATACTAAGACGAGATGCTTTCAGCCATAAAAATTCAAAAGATCATTAAAAACTGCATACCAGGAGACTTTATGGTGTTCTGACAGGGATCTTCTTTAATTTGCACTTCTGAGGTACAAAGGATTAAAAAGGAAAACCAAAAACTCCAGCTTAACGAGAAAGAAATGCAGAATAAAATCGATCGATCTACGTGACGGGCTTAAGTAAATGACGAAAGTACTCAGCCTGCATGTCAGAACATAACATTGATGAGTTCTTTAAAGTGCATCTGATAACTGATAATAGAAGCTTCAGAATATTCAATGGTTGATCATAAGTAAGTTTTTCACACAACAGACATAAAGGGAAATTTCATCAAATAAAAGAAAAGAACTGCAATGGAAAAACACTAACAATAACAGAATACTAACCTGACAATCGTGCAAAGGTTGAAAGCATGCTATCACTCTAACAATGATTGTTGGTTCACCTTCAATGCCATTCTCATGTTTTAATGCCCGAAATCTTGTTTGGCTTGCCGCTTGGCACACCATAACGTCTATTGATTCTTTGCCTCACTACCCAATCAAAATGTGCACGCCAAAAATATACCCAATAAAATAGAATAAAGACGATACCAAATTATATGACCAAATGGAAATCAGCTAGAAAAGGGAAGAAACAAACAAGGAGATGCTCAAGAGACAATACTGGACCTTCTTCACTTCCTATCCTTTAACCAATTCTATACTTATCAGAAGAAATGATCATACAGTGGTTGGCTTCCATAGGTTGTGGTTTAGACCAAAGGATTAAAAATAACAAAGCGGATAACTTAATGGAATATTACTCTACAGGATAACTTTACAATACACATTCAAGCGGACAACTTTGCGAAATACATCAACAGAGAGACCCAGCCAACGCATGCTGACAAAGATACCCAGAATTGCTTAGAGACTCCAGGAGATGTTACGCCCACATAACTAAAATCCCTGAAACAAGATTACATCATAAAGTAAATATCATAAATTTATTTGGGCATATGTCATGAATTAAGATTATGCAATATCATGTCCTAAAGAAAAACGTTTCATAAACTTCTCCTTTCTTTTGAAACTATATATATACACACACACATATATATAGACACACAAACAAAAGATCTATGACAATAATCACTGAGAGAAAATGAACAGATTCATTGCAACTTACAGCTTCAGATGTCCATTTCTTTGAAATAAAACGAACCCAAAAATATGAGGGATCAGAACTATTTTGCTTTCTCTTGAATATTATTTTTAATATAAATAAGAAAAAGGCTCCTGCCAGCGTCCCAACGACTACAGTAAGGAATGGCGGAAGAAAAGGAATATTATCAACACACTTCTCACTTGTTGAAATCTACAAAACCAGGCCTTGAAACCCACTCAGATAACTGATAAGGTTGTTATTTAATCAGACAAAGTTCCTTCGCTTTCCCCTGGAATTCTCAAATTCCTTATCCAAACAAGTATATTAACTAAACTGTTGCTAATCCAACTTAAGAAATCCCCATATGAACGGATTCCAGAACCCAATTTCGACAAAGCAGTCCTAATCCTAATGAAATCCTAAAATTTTCCCCTTTTGCCTCCTCACCCGCTACCCGGAGAAATAGAAACCCCCCCCCCCCGACCAAGTAGAAAACAGGATCAGATTCTGGAAACTTACAGATCGATTAAAGAGGAAACGGCAGCTTCTTGACGAACTCGATTGGAATTTCCGGCAGCGAAGAAGTGGGAGAACCAAATGCAAGAGATAGTGAACAGTGAAGAAAGGAAATAGCCAGAAGCAAAAGTCCAAAGAGGTGCCGCATCCACTGGACGCCACGATTATATAGACGACCCATTGCACGATTTTTCCGCCAACTATATCATTATGTTTTTTCCTTTTTTTTTTTTCCCTTTTTTTTTTCTTTTCTAGCTATATAATTTTCCGAAAATTATTAAAAAAATTTTGCATTACAAAACTTATTTTTTGGTGAAATCATTACAAAATTTATTACTACCTCCAGTCCTTAATACAAGAGTTTATTTGACTTTTATTTTAGTGTTAGATATAAGATCTCAATTCACTTTGTCTCTTATATTTATCTACTTTTTTTAAGATGGTTCTTATAATAATGATAGTTCTAGTCAATATACTTGATAAATAAGGATATTTTAAGAAAGACAACACATATTTACTACAAATAACTAACTTAACTAATTTTTAAATCTACTCAAATTAGTCAACTAGTTCTTATATATTAAGAACAGGTAATATTACTCAAAATTTATTTAAAGACTCAAGTGTAGCATATTTTCATCTGTCTGGTGTGAATCTTTTTTGAATGCATGTGTAAAAACGAAATAACTTCAAATATGTTCCAGTAACAATTAAAGAAGAGTTGTACCGCTGAAAATCTGTTTCACCTGCTTTGGATTACTACCCAAATTTAGGTAATAAATTGTGTTTGAGGCAAATTTTCAGCATTTTTTTTAGTATTATAACTAATTGAGATTGAGATTTGAATAATTAAATAGTGTCAGTCAATTTGGATTAAGTTTTTATTAATCTCAGTTAAAAAGGGTTTTTTTTTGCATAATTTTTTCATTTATAAAATTTGACTCACAATCTTATTTTTAAAAAAATGTTGAGAACATTCTTCTGAAATAATATGATTGGAATATTCTTGGCTTCTACTTCTAACTAATAGCTAGTAATTACCATGATTGCTCACAACTTTTCTCAACCAAAATCTTATTCTGCCTCCATGCACGCGAGGATTGGCTTTTTAATGATTTATTTTTTTGTAAAGCTATTTTTAAATAAGATTCTTTTCATATTGGATACATTTTTCAATTTATTTTTTCTTATTCAAATTTATTGTCTTATAAATAATACTCCATCTAGTCTTAAATAAAAGAGCTAATTTAATTTTACTTTAATCCTAAACATAAAATCTCAATTCATTTTGTTTTACAAATTTATAATTTTTTCAGACTATCTACATTGCACATATTGTTTTAAATTTATAATTTCTCATCAAGGCTTTCCTATTTGATTATACATAGCAATGATGGTCTTATTAAGAGATAATTACAATGCATATGATTAAAAAGAGTATTGTAAGAAAATCAATATACACTTGTTATGAATAACTAATTTAATTATTTTTTTTAAAATCTATAAATTAGTTATGTAGCGTTTATATTAAGAATTAGATCTATGTATATGTCATATACTTCTCAGGTCCTTAATATAAGATTTAAATAACTAATTTTAAAAATTAAAAAAAATTAGTTAAGCTGGTTACTTGATAAATGTATGTTGGCTTTTCTAAATAATTTTCTTTAATCATATCCATTAGAATCACACTTTGGTAGGAATCTTTTAGGAATATTTTGATAAAAATGTAAGATAAAGTAAATTATAAATTCATTTTCCCAACTAATTTTTGTATTAAGTAAGGGAGGTAATGTATTTGTATATGAGTTTGGTTGAAAAACCACTGAGGAAAGAAGTAAGGTCGACGTATTATTACTAATTGGAAGCGTAGTTTAGAAGCCATTAAATGTTCACATGCTGCCTATGGCAACGCATGAGGAAATTGTGGCAATTCCTCAATCATTATGTGCCCGGAAAATCCACCAAAAAAAAATCCTAATTCTATGGGAAAAATAAAATTAAATCTGTCATTTTTCATATAATTTTCCTTATTCCCATAATATTTTCTTTTAATCCCCATGACAGTTTTTTTTGTTAATAAAAAAGGCCAAATGACATTAGAAACAAAAGATAGAGTACATCATAAAGATAAGGTCAAAAGAAGTAAAGAAATTAAGAGTTCTTAATATAAGATCTAATTAACTAATTTGAGTAGGTTAAGAATATTAGTTAAATTAGTTAATATGATATATTTCCAAAACAACAATTCTGTGCCTGCCACTTGAACAAATTGCTTAGTTGACACCCCCGAGTTATTAGTGATATGGTTCAAGGAAAAAACAGAGGATTTAATGAACAAAAACACTCATAATTAAATAGATGATTCCCTTCTACCTTCAAGCTCATCAAAAATATTGAAGAGGCTGAACTTCAAAACACACCCAAAAATGACAAAGAAAAACACACTTCTTGTTTTCGCCTCTATGTATGTAATACTATAACCCAACCATATAGTATTAATGACTGTTTTCATATTCCAAATATTTTTTTTAAATGACTAGTTTGATTCCTCCTCCTTGTTTTAAAATAAATACATATTTACATCTATTGTTTTTTTTATGATAAATATTTTTCATATATATATATATACATGAAGAAACTAAAATATTTGGAGCACGATGAAACATGCTCCACCACCAACAGAACTTTATTGGGATACAACGTTCCAATGTTAATGGTTGATTTTAAGCGTTCAATAGTGAGCTATTCACAATAGTTGAGTTAGTGGTAAGTAATATTGAGAGTTTTTTTCTGGCAAAAAAAAAAACAATTCAATAAATGTAAAAATGTTATTATAAGATCTATTGTAATTGAGCTTGACAATTTTAAAATTTAATCCAGTGGCATATTCATAATTTGTAAACGGTAGTGTATGTATATACATTAATTAGATAATTTATAGGTGAAGTTAAGCTAAATCACATGAAGCTCCCTCCTCCGAATTTGGAATCATGTACAAATAATTCTTTTAATCTTTGAAACTCAATAACTAAATAACCAACCCACCTAAACTTTTAACGTCATATGGATAAACATTAATCGTGAATTATTATACACCCTCTGAAATATATTTTTGTGTGTACATAATGCCCTCAAACTTTGATTTTTATGTATATAAGTTCCCTAAATTTTAATATGTATATATAGATAAGTAATGAGCAGAATTACTAGAAGAAAAATTATTTTTATAAATACACATTTTTAGGGGATTCATTGTAATATTTTAAAACTTAAGGACGTTATTCACATAGAAGTTCAAAGAAGTGCAATTTTGCCTTGAATTTAATGTCAAAATTCAAATATTGAATTCTTTAAACACTTTTAATTGTTTTGTTTGAATTTTAGGAGAGATTATTTTAAAAAGGGACTACTTCTTATAATGTTTTTGACAAAAATTTTACGTCCCTTTTTGTGATTCAACAAATTGTTTGGTAATGACCTTCAATATTACTTTGTCACCCAAACGTTCACCCTTTAGAATTATTGCATAAAATATTTTTTAGTAACAATTAGCAGATTGCTAGTTTAAAAGATTTTATATTTCAAAAAGAAAAAAAAAAACAACTGATAGAACTTAATCAAACAAAGTCAAATATCAATAGCCCTATATTTGATAGCACACTCTCTTGCTTATCATTTCCCATACCACATGTGAATTAATTCCAAAAATAATGATTACCAATTTCAATTCATGATTGAAGATTAATCATAATTTTCTATCAGCATGTATGTTGGTTGGATCTAGGCACATTTAAATCCTAGCTTTTAAAATTTCGATTAAAATCATTATATATATTTTTCACGTAGATATGGTCAGAGCTCAGAAGTATACTTTAATTTCATATTCTACTTTTAAAATAAAACAAATATCAAATTTGAGAAAAAAATTAAAAATAAAATGCAATATTGACGGTTGTTTAAATTTAATATGGACAATTATATTCAACTGCCCAATGAACAGTTGTTATGATAATTAAATAGAAAAATTAAATTAAGATAAGGTGAAGAAGACATTGATGAAATATTAGTCACAAGTCACAAGTAACAAGAGACATAAACATGTGTTCTGCACTCATTAGCAATCTAATTTACTATTGTAAATGTCCCCACCAAAGTGATCACAGTGTCACAAGGCAACATTGTCTCAATTCTGGAAATTATGGCACAACATCACACCCCAGAAATAAAAAAGATTCTCTGCTTAAGTGCATTCTTACAATTTCACACATCTTAATTATGTTTATAGTCATTATTAGAGGCCCACAATTTTCATACCCATACCCCCATAGGTGTCTTTTCATTCTAACTAGAAGTGGGACCTATACCACTGCATAGAGTATGAAAAATGAGACGCAATATTACTCTCTCGAGTTTTAAATATAAAAGTTGGCTGAAAGGTTTGCTTTGGTTCTAAGTAGAAAATTTTAATCTGTTTTGTCTCACAAATTTATTATATTTTTTTCCTAGATGATCATACTGATTATATGTATTAGAAGAGATTTTTATCGATAGGGATATGTTCCAATATATCAACATACATTTATTATATTACTTTCGATACTTAGTATAAAAGCTAGATAACTTATTTGAGAATATCAAGAAAATTAGTTAAATTTGTTAATTGTAACAAATATATGTCGATTTTTCTAAGTTACTCTCTTTAATTATGTGTATTAAAACTATCAAATCCACTAACTCTTATATTAAGGATTAAAGGTAGTAAATACTAACTTATCCAATTTTTTAAATATTTATAAATTAATTATCTAGTACTAAAAGGAGTACTTGTTAATAATTTGTGAGGATATATCATTCATTTGTCCTTAATATTTAGGCGAGCCTAGCCTTTATAGTTAGCAAAATATATTTTACTAGTGCTTATGAAAATAATGGCACACATATGTTGATTTTCCTAAATTAATTAACAATTTAAGATTATGCATACAAATTAAGAGAGTTGTCACATAGTTTAAACACTAAAATCTAATTATATGTAGCTAAAATATGCTTATACTAAAATATCATAGCACTTCAACTTCGCATATGGTTAGTTTAATTACTCCTCTAATCCTCAATGTAAAACTTATTTAATTAATTTGATTAGGTTAAGTATAAGAAAAATGATATATTTTTTCTAAAACACCATAATTATTTTTCTTAATATCTTTTTTTTTCTACTTGATTGTGATTGAGACAGTATTAATAATAGTAATTTAAAAAATTGATAAATATGATAAATATATTTTATATTTAAAATTAAGATCAACTCAATAATTAAGTTTTATATTAAGAATCGAATGGGCAAAATATTAAGGCAACATGTGACTGATTTTTGCCAACTGACGTCGTTTAAGGGGGTGTTTGGGAACCTAAAAAGGTGATTTTAAAAAATATTTTTTCACAAAACGAGACAAATTCTTTCACATATTTATTTTGTACATCGTAAAAACACTTCTAAAATCGTGGTTTGATTTTTATTCAAATAAAATACTCGAAGTTGAATAAGCGGTACGCTCATGAATTACAAACTTGGCTTTGAAAACCAAATCGACCCAAATGAATTTTAAAGTATAAAAAATAGGAAATAAAAATAGGTATGATGGATTCACCTTAAAATATCAACTTTGTGAAAACACCAAAGTATTAAATAATAAAATGATCATATAATACAGAAGTCGATCCCATATATTCAATTTTTGTGTGAAATTTATGTCAAATCAATCATTACATAAATTTTTAATTTTTAATACTACATGCATATTCAATTGAATCGGATCTGCCACTAAATTTGATCAATATGAATGAAGTCTATTAAAAGTATATTGCAATAAAAAAAAAATTTGATAGGCCAGAATAATCATTCATATTAAAACCATATAAAATAGCACCAAAGCCATTCCACATAGTTTTGTGAAATAACGCATATAACTCTTGACTAATGTGTGATAATTAATAAACAACGCGTAATTAATGAGATAAAAATAAAAAGTGAATTAAATTTTCAGACATATGCATACGAAGTAGAAAAATAATTTTATAAAAAAGAAGCTGAAAATTTGTAAATATCAAATAAGGAATATCAACAAAAATTTCTTGTCATTTGTAAATTCAGTGTTGTTAACATCAAATAAAGTGTTGTTATCAAACTTATTTAAGATTTAGTAATTTTCAGTTTCATTTTTTGTTATTCTCCCTACAAAGTATGAATTATGACTAGCACTATTCTTTTGGATATAAGTCAGAGCATCCTCAATTTACTTTGGATTAGAAACTAATTTCTATTAGGCTAGGAGCATAAAGATTAAAGCTCTCTCAATAAATGTACTTTTTAAGATTTGAACTTGTGATTTTCTTCTTATGAGAGTTAGATCATTTACCATCTCAACTAACAGCTTGTTGGTATCACTGTACTATTTTAAAATTTTGACTCACATATAGGATATTATAAATTAAATGGATCCAATGTAAATCTCAACATAGGATAGTATTTGCCTACAAAACTAATTATAATGAAGAAAATGCTAGAATCATCAAGTGCAATCCAATCTTTTGGCCACTAGCTGCAATAATCCAATTAATTGAACATGCTACACTCGTGCATTAGATAATCAAAAAGCCAAAAAAGAAGACCAAAAGATCCAATTTTTCTTTATCCCATGTATAATAAAGTAAATTTTAGCAAAGCGGTATTTTTTTTTTTTTTGCTTTTTTTTTTCCTGTTGGGTTTGGTTGATGAGAGTGGAGGGCACAAGCACCAAATACTCAAAATACTATGATGAGGTTTTCTCTTTAGGTTGCAGCCTCACCAAAGTGACTAAAATTCAGGGATATCCCTCTTGCACTTTTCAATATTCTATATGACACTATTCATGGATTTCCCCTTTTGTTCCTTTTAATGGCACTTGCTCATCCTTCACCTTCTTCAACATCGTACATTCTTATTGCCTCTATTTATTTTATATTATTAAAAGCTTTGGATTAAAGTTTTGTTTGGTTTCTTATGAATATTGGAATATTTTTTCCATCAAAATATTATCTTCTCTATTTTATCCTCTCTATTTAGAGTATTTTTTTTAATTCACCATATGGAGTTTAACTAAATTGCAGGAATTTGATTCTTCTTAAAGCAGATCGAAGATTCAGATCTTGTGAATAAAAAACCATGTCAAAAAATGAAAAAATTGGCTAGAACTCTCTAATTAGAAAATTAGTTGTGCAAATGTATCTAAAATTTATTTTATAACTCATGTGTAACTTATTTTTAGTGGATGCAACTCTTTTTCAATTTTGTACAACCTATTTTCAACTATGTGCAAAGCGAAAAAAATCTGCACATAAATAAAGAAAATTGCATCCATTCAAAAAATTGAGTACTTAAATACCTTTGAATAATTTTTTAATCAAGAACTTTTGACCAATTTTTCTCAAGAAATACTCCGATAAATTGCTTGTTAAAAATTTGTTTAATCAGTCATGTTTGGGAGAATCACTTGCTACTAGATTCAATGATTCTCAAATCAACACACACATATATTTTTAAAAAAGTAAACGGAATCAATTGACGTAAACTTGCCGAACTCAGTTTAATAAATTGAAAATTGAACCAATTTTTTTTTTATTAAAAAAAGATGATATGAGTTTCTTTTAGTTAGGGCACTTTTTCCCCCTCTCTGCAAATGGCTTTCGGTGAGCACTAGGAAAGGCATGAATGGGTAGTGGACACAAGTCTGACTATAAATTGGACTCTGTGTAGAGAGATCCTCTTTTGCGCACTATTTCTTATGCAAAGTGCTGCGTTAATCCAGATTTTAGAACCTCATTTGAATCCAGAATTATTATAAAGCCATTTACAAGACACATGAATTAAACAAAGAAAAAGAAAGATTTGGTATGATCATTATTGGTATAGGTCTGCAAAATCCATATCTACTCTCTCTTTATATATATATAAGAGTGCTTTGAACAAGTGCTTGAATTATTTGAGCTACTATGATTCTACAAATAAACAAGAATTCAAATTTTTTTTAAAATAAAATAAAAGGAGTATACTTTACCAATAATAAAGATTAACATCTTTTGAAGTATTGGGATAAGTGATTGACCTCCCTCAATTAGATTTGCTATATTTTATAAAGACTGAAAATTTAACTTTTAATCACTTGTTTATGTGACAAGAATCCCCAAAAATAAAACTTTTGATATTGAAGCATATATATGTTTTAATCATTTTGTTTGGTTGAAATTTGTAATTTCAATTTTGAAGCTAGTAATTAGATTAAATTGCAAATTGGGAATTGAAAATATATAATCCTAAGATAAAGCAAAACAAAAATTTTGCATGGAAATTAATGAATCCATAAAATTAAATTCAAGTATTTGCAATAAAATTGGGTGCATAGTGTGAGGGACAAGAGAGAGTGGAGGCGTAGGGTAGGGACAGACACTCACATGCTTTTATATTCCAATTATTCATCCAACTAGACAGGCCCAGCCACGGATCTACATCTTGATGACTGGGGCCAACTTGAAAACAAAATATAAATTAGGGGCTATTTTTGAGGCACCAATTGATGTAAGGACAATACTTATATCAGCTTTTTTTTATTCATAATGTCAAGTTTTCAGATAAAAAGAGTCATATATAATTGGAAAATTGACATAATTGATAGGGCAATGCAAAAATCTGATAGTTTGGTATGGTCCGGTCTAATCCAAGAAAACTCAGTCCAGTCCGATTTAGAAAAAATTGTCCAAGACAAGATTGGACCAGACTGGTCTCATCAGGTCGGACTGGACTGGGGAATGACCCCTTAGACCAGTTGGTCCTGTACAATCTGTCCTGAGTTTTTATTTTTTAATTTTTAAATATTATTTATACAATTTTAATTTGTTTTTAATTTTTCTATATAAGTTTTTTTGTCAATTTAAATAATAAAGATTTATCTATTAACTTCCTAAGTGATGAGCATGTGCATATGTTTTCTTCAATATATAATTTATATTGATAAGAATTAATAAATGAAACATGACGTTATTGAGAAATTAAAAAGGAGTGATCAAATTTGATGAAGTTTTGATTAAAATATATGCAAAATTTTATATAGTAAGTTGTAATCTTACCTCTTATCGAAGATTTTTTTTTTTTAAAAAAATTCAATTGAGATCCTAGACTTCCTCAACCAGTTCAGGTAGTCTAGTAGACAACTTCTCGGATTGGCAGTGGATTGGACCAAATTTCAAACTATCTTTTTCAATCCAAAGCAAACCTAATCCAGCCTCATCCATGCACACTCCTAATAATAATTGATATAAAAGATCTAACCTAAGTATTCTGCAAGTGTATAAAATAATAAAATTAGCTTTTAATTATGATTACTAAATTGACTTTTTCATTATTTTTAGGTTTTGTGGACGAGGTTTTTTTGTTAACCCAAAAAAAAAAAACTATTCAAGCAAGTTTTCGGTAACTGATTATTTTATAAAAGAACTTTTGGGATATTGAGCAAAGTGCAAACCCACCTCTGGGATAGGGACATCACTGAAAGGAATCACATTGCATAAGCACCAAGAAGTAAATACAAATAATATTATCGATAATTTGTAAAATAACATAATATAACGTTTTTAGATTTTATAGTACACACACCAACACAACGTTTCTCGGATAAACACGACTAAATATTTCTTCAAAGTTCATTAATAAAAGTTCTGAAGGAAAGAAAGAAAACCAACACTGGGCAAAGTATGTACTTGAGGGTTACAAGTACATGAAAAGAGGCGTAAACATATTTTTTAATTAAGGAGAATGAAAAGATAAACATTGGGTAGAATAGGAGCACCCGGGTTCAACAACACCAACAAAAGCATATCCTACAAGGATTTAGATCCTTTGAAATTAGGTGGCTGTAAATTGAATCTGAGAAGAATTAGCGACAGAGAGAATGGGTGGATCAGAAGTAGACCCCATATACACGACCATTTCTTGGGGACTTCCACTTTTGTTATATTTTAGCTTCAGAAGATTCAAATTCAAACTTAAAAGAGCCATTTAAGACTGGAAGCTGTAATTAAGATTATCAAATTATATCAGGCAACCATGGATAAATATTGATATATTAAATACAATGAAACAAAAGCATCCAGTAAGATCTAGAAGCACCCAAGATATATTATGTTAAACAACACAACCATCGTGTAGCATCATCATACATATCCATGGTAAAGCACAACATTATTCCTTATTAGAACAAGGCATCACTTCACTGAGCTCTCAGGACTTCAATTTCAAAATCCAAGACAGAATTTGGCATTATTCCCCACGCAGGAAAACCTTGAGGACCATAACCGTAGTCAGGAGAGCACTGCAAAATATCATAAAAGCGAACATTAAGATCAGTTTTTTTTTTTGGGGGGGGGGGGCTGAATTAAGATCAGGTTTGTTTCAGATGCAGAATCTCAAAGGTGAGTCATAATCAAATTCAAAGCAAAAGGATGCAAATGGTCCTCATCGTATCAAGAAGTCAATTCTAGTTTGTGACAAGGGATGTTGACGGTCAGAAGAAGTTGAAGCATGCACACCATTAAATATACATCGTGGACAAAACAACAGATTTGAAAATAAGCCAGTTATATTCAAGATTTTAACCTGAAACTCAAACCAAATCACTGCAGGGATCAATGATCCACTGGGAGGATGCCTGGCCCCCTCTCTTTTCTTTTGTTAAATAAGCCAAAGAAGGAAAAAAGGTATCCACTCAAATAACAAACTCTTTTAAGACGAAGCAAGGGATACTTCCGGCTCATTTGAAGAAAAAACAACTGCACATAATACATATATGATATATTACCCGCAGACGAGCAACTTCGCCAACTTGCATACCACTCACACCTTCATCCCATCCTACATAAAATAAAGGTAAATGAATCAGATCACCACGTTTCAACAATTCTGCCTTCAAGACAAGGCATACACTAAATGCAGGGACCACTTATAAGAGAGTACATAAATATGTAAAAACTACAATGATAAGATGGACATGTTATCATTACATATATGCACTCATGAAAATTATGTGTAGGAATAAGACTAGAAATGTAGAGGTAAAGTCACCTTTTATAACAGAACCTTGGCCAATCTTAAACGTGAAAGGCTGCTGCCCAGGATCCTTTGTGCTTCACAAGAACAAGAAACATGTCAGGGCAATTTTTATAATGGGAAGGACTAAAGAAACCATGGTCCATGTGTTTCCCCAGTATTCTTTTCTCCCACCCCCCCCCCCAAAAAAAAAAACCTCTGAAACATGCTAAAACTAAAGTACTAGCAGCCTAACCTCCAAAATTTCTGAGAGAGGTCACCGTTTTTTCCTGCTCAGGGAATTTCATCAAATAAAAATTAGTGCATCAAGCAACAGGCAGATTTTTCACTACTTAAAGTCAAGGTCTACTACTTAAAGTCAAGGTGTTAGTAAAACACAACAAAAAACGATATGAAGACTGTTATTTATCAACTTCAACAAGGGAAAACACACAGGATTTAAATAAAACAGTTCAAGCATTATTCTGTTAGCAATAGGTATGTCCCCAGCTGCACCAGAGGTTGGAGTGTATGTAGTAATCTTCCATCGTGAAGATTTCAAACACGACAAAAAGCTAAGGACCCATCGAATAGTACAATGACATTTGACAAAAAATTTCATCAGTGAATCCTAAAACTGGCTATTCGAAAGCAAACATATTCAAGGACCCTGAAATATTGCCAAAGAAGGTAAGAATCATGATGTAATTTGATTTAACCATGTGCATCACCTACTAGGCAATTGGATCCCAAAGAAAACTGAGCTGTGTTCAATTCATAAAAAACTTGAACACACAAGAATACAAAAGCATGGACTCTATAGAGTTTCCGAGATCTATCAATGCTCATCCAAGCATTAAGTGAAGGGTAAAACCACAAAAAAAGTGATTAAAAAAAAAAAGCTGGTTATTAATATGCTGCGGGTAAGGGCGTAGATTCATTAAAGATTCTTGCGAAGTTCAGGGGACCATAGAATCATAGCAATATTACTTACTAATCCAATAAATTGGCAGACTTAATATATTTCTGTTTGCCCAATAACGGGGTTAGTCTATATCCTCTCACAATACGCACCCCATCTGTTCCCGCTGGACTTAAAACCTAGTATTCAAAACCTAACCACTAAGGTGTGAGCTTGGGGCAGTGCACTTGGTGTAATAAGCATGATTAATTTGATGGTCTGAAGAAAAAATTGACATTTTCCATGCAATCATTCAGAGAAACAGAAAGATTTTGACTTGGATAAATAGAGGAAACTTAGGGACATGAAAATAGCGACCATACAGAAAAATAATTTATTTAGTAACCCCTAAGATTAAGAAAGCTTCGTCCACTGCCTTTTCCAATACTTTCTCTCGGCAACCAAACATCTTTAAAGGGGGGGGGGAAAGAGTCTAAATAAGAAACCACAATCGTCGGAACAGGAACTCCATAGCGGCACAGAATTCTTTTCCATTCCTAGGAAACTCAGAGATAACGAAATACTAGTACTTTCTTCACTGGGCCAGAGAAATTCGAAAATTTTCTACTGCGTACCAGATTACGAAAACAAACCGAACGAAGAATCCAAGCTTAAAAATTAAAATGTTCAAAAAAGGCAGATAGGGTGAGAAGCTAACCATAACCAGTGCAGTGAACAGTGACGCTCTGGCCAGCTACTGGCTTGGGACCAGTTCCAGGCCTGAGGACTTGCTTCTCCACTCCCATCCCTCCTTTTCTTCGCTTTCCCTGCGATATCCGATTCCCTGTTTCTCTCGGCCGCGATCTTTTTTCCACTTCCCACCAACCCTCGGCCGGTGATGCCCCTCTATATAAACACACCAGTCGTCTCTTTTTTTTTTTTTTTGAGCCGAAATTTATAGGAAAAATGAAAAAAAAAATTGAAAATTTATAAATATTATTATTAACATTAAATAAAGTATTGTTACCAAATCTGATTAAGAATTTAGAAATTTTCAACCTTTTTTTTTGTCATTCTCCCAAATTTATATTATTTGCCAAGTACAAATAATATGACTTCAAAAATTAAAATCTAATGTGAAAATCTGTATGAAACGAAAGCGGTTATATACGTGCATAATTGCATTGCATCTGGGAGCATTAGATTTGAAAAGAGTGAGTTTTGTTTTATGCATACTAATACTTTTCCGTTGGTTGATGTAAGATTTAATTAATTAATTTGAATATATTAAACATGTTAATATGATAGTATTTTTTTAAAACACTTTTAATATTTTTCTTAATTCCCTCCCTCTCTTTTTTATTTGATTATTATTAGAAAAATATCAATAAGGTTAATTTAGAAAAAACTTATAAACATGTGTAATAGGTGTTACATATAAGATCAATATTAATTCCTCAATTAGATATTATATTAAGAACGGGAAGAGTACTATTTAATAATATTTGCTCAAAAAGATACTTTTTCATTAATAGTAATTATTTTATTAATTAAAAAATAGAAATAATATTTATTCAAAAATTTTTTTTGGCCCTTTCTTATAGTACTTACTATCATTTCATATTCGAGGATGCTATCTGTACAGATGAATTGAGTTAATTTGAATTGCGCTTAATTCTTTTATGGGAATATATGTTCGATTATTCTCATCATCAAAATTAATTTGAAAATAAGATTGTTTTTAGTTTTTTCCCCCCTATCGTAGCAAATAAAATTACAGCTCATCCTATGCCTAAAAATAAAATCTCAATATTATGTATTATAGTAATCAAACAATATGAAAAGCCATAATACTACCTCCTGTCCTTGATATAATACTCCTCCGGTCCTTATTATAAGACCCAATTTGACTTTTTATTTGGTCCTAATTATAAGACCCAATTCATTTTCTCTCTTATATTTATGCATTTTTTTCCAAGATAATCCTTCTAATAATGATAGTTTTAGCCAATATACTTAATTAGCAAGGATATTTTAGGAATAACAACACTTATTTATTATAAATAACCAACTTAACTTACTTCCTTAATCTCCTCAAATAAGTCAATTGGGTCTTATAATTAGGACCGGAGGAGTATTTCGTTTGACTTTTATTTTGGTCCTAAATATAAGACCTCAATCCACTTTGTCTCTCATATTTATATTTTTTTTTTCAAAATAGTCCTTCTAATAATAGCAGTTTTAATCCGTACAATTGATTGGTAAAGATATTTTAGTAAAGACAACATCTATTTATTATAAATAACTAACTTAACTTATTTTTTTAATCTCCTCAAATTAGTCAACTAACTCTTATAATTAGGACCGGAGGTAGTACATATTAACACAGGAAAAATTCGAAAGTAATTTTTAAATTAAAACACATGAATTAGTCAAACCATGCATATTTACCGTATTTAAAGTTGAACAAATTCTACTCAGAGGCATAGATATAGAGGTCGAGTATAAATCAAAAGAAACTGATTAACAGAGTGAAATACAAGAACACTTCAAATCTTATATTAGATAAAACTAGAAGCGTTCCTTCGAATAAAATACGAGTCAAATGCTCAAATAACACTTGGAATAATGTCACCAGAATCAGATAATTCACAAAGATCTCAGAAACACAAACCAGAAATCACTTGGGATTACCCCATCCACCGCCACCTGGAGTTAAAATCTGAATAATGTCTCCTGCTTGCAATTGCACTGTGTTCTTACCTCCAAGATAGATTTTCCTCTTATCTTTCCTGATAAGGAAATTGGCCCCACGAGCTCCATTTTTGCCCCCTTGAAGTCCTCTTGGAGCATGAACACGTCTCTCTGAAAGAATGCTCAATGTAACTGGACACTTGAACTCTAACTCTCTCACAATCCCATTACCTCCTTTGTGAAGTCCATCTCCTCCGCTATTCTTTCTGATTCCAAATTTATGCAGAACCACAGCGTACCTCTGCTCAAGAATCTCCAGATCAGTGATTTGAGTGTTGGTCATATGAACCTGAACGCCGCTGGTTCCATCCCAGGTTGGACCAGCCCCAGCACCACCTCCAATGGTTTCATAGTAACCAAATGTGTCATCACCAAAAGTGAGATTGCTCATGCAACCCTGTGAACAAGCACAGGCTTGAAATGCTGTTAGAATAACATCAGTTATTCTTTGAGATGTGAGAACATTGCCGGCTACTACTGCGGCTTTGTCACTGGGAGAGAGGAATGAACCTGCTGGGATGTGAATCTTCACTGGAGATAGACAACCTTGATTGAGAGGAATATCAACATCAACCAGACAACGAAGGCTATATATTACAGCTGCAGATGTCACTGCTTCTGGAACATTCCAATTACCATAGACTTCTTCACTTGTCCCACTAAAGTCAAAAATTGCTTCTCCTTTATCAGAATCTATGGTGAGTTTCAAGTGAATGACAGAGCCATCATCCATGTAGTCCTCTTCTTCAACTGTTATGATGTTTCCATTGCCCAGCCCAGCTGTCTGAGATTTAATTTTTGGGCCGATTGCCTTAAGCATTTCTCTCACAGCTTCTTCTGCATTGAGTTGAACATATTTCATGTAATCTTGAACAGTCTCCAAACCATACTGCTCAATCAACTCACCAATAAGGTTTATTCCTCTTTGGTTTGCAGCTATCTGTGCTCGGAGATCAGATAAATTATCTTCAATTCTACGAGTTCCGGGGATCTTACATGGTGCTTCATCTGCAGAGGGGAATTTGAGTAACTTGACAATTCCTTCTTCTTGAAAAGCTCCTTTTTCAACAAGTTTGAATGCTTTTATGGCAGCCCCTTCTTCCCATATGAATTTTGACAAAGGAGGCATGCTTCCAGGAGTAATACCACCAATCTCTGCATGATGTCCTCGATTTGCCACGAAGAATACAAGCTTGCCTCTATGAAAAACAGGCGTAATCACAGTCATATCAGGAAGATGGCTACCTCCCGCACTAGGATGGTTCGTTAGCAAAACATCTCCTTCATTCAAATTATCGCCCCAGTACTTAAGATGCCAACGAACAGTGGTAGACATAGCTCCCAAGTGTGCAGGAATATGAGGGGCATTGGCAACTAGCCCTCCATCAGGACCAAAGAGAGCGCAAGAGAAATCTAGTCTTTCCTTTATATTTGTAGATATAGAAGTTCTTTGTAAGGTTCTTCCCATCTGCTCAGCTATTCCCATAAATCTGTGACTGAAAATTGAAAGTTGTATAACATCTGCAACCTTGTCTGCCACTTTGACATTGCCTAAAGTAGAATCAATTTCAACTTTGATGTTGCCATATTTGGTGATTGTAGCTCTCCAGTTTGGTTCTACTATCACTGTGCTGTTTCCATTCATAATGATTGCTGGGCCGCGCATGACATGACCATATCCCAGATTGTCAAGTTTATAGAGAGGAGTCTTGTGCCAGCCCTGTCCAAAGAAAACCTGATAATGGCCTTCAACTTTAGGACTTCCAGAAGCAGGTCCTAAGGCCTGAGGCTTCAATATGTTGGTAAATCCTACACCATGGACTCTAATGTCAGAGATAAGGATATTCCTGTTCTGTAGATTAAATCCGTATTCTCGCTGAAACCTTTTTAAAAACTCAGAAGCATAGTCAATTGCCTTTCCATCTTCAATCGCTTGTTTAACCATGATTGAGGTGTCTGTGCCTTCATACCTTAAATTCAAATATGTCTCCGTCACAATGTTTTCTTCTGTGAATCCTTGCTGTTGCAACTTCTGTTTTACCTGATTTATTAACACAGATTCTCTGAGGGACACCTCCAGGAGAGACTCAAGGCCATATATAGCAGAATATGGCTCCTGTGCCTCTTCCACAACATTCGCCAATCCCATCCCATATGCACTTAAGATCCCACAGAACTTATGAATAAGGATCTCTTTCATGCCCAGTGCCCTAGCAATAGCACAAGCATGCTGAGGCCCAGCACCACCAAAGCAAGCAAGAGCATGGTTCCTTGTCTCGTAGCCTTTCATCTCAGTTAATTGCCGTATTGGACGGCACATGGTTTCATTGGCAACATCCACAAAACCTTGTGCAATTTCTTCAATAGTCATATCTTTTGCAGATGGATCTTGATTCTTTCTATATGAATTTATTTTCCTGGCAAGCTTCTGAAATTCTTCCCTGGTTGCATTGATGTCTAGAGGCTGATCTTCATTAGGACCAAAAATGCATGGAAAATAATCTGGGATAATATATCCTAAAATCAGGTTGGCATCAGTAACTGATAATTCACCGCCCTTTCTATAACACATCGGACCTGGGTGAGCACCAACTGATTCTGGCCCTACTCTGAAAGTTCCAAACAAGAACTTCAATTTAGAACCGCCACCAGCAGCAACAGTGTTTATGTCAAGTTGTGGTGCTTGTATTATGGCACCTGCAATCCTAGTTTCAAGGATTTGTTCATATTGTCCAGCATAGCGGCTAACATCTGTAGATGTACCACCCATATCAAAGCCTATCAAAGGCTTGTTTGTTTCAAGCCCAAAAAGCGTTTGAGAGTAACCAACAACTCCACCAGCAGGACCAGACAAAACTGCTTTATGCCCTGAAAATCGACTTTCTGGTGCAAGCCCTCCATCTGATTGCATAAACAGAACATTCACCTTTCCACAATTCTCATCAAATTTTGACATGAACCCAGACAAATAATCTTTAATAACTGGACTCAAATAGGCATCCACTGTAGCTGTTAGACCCCTAGGAACTGCTCGAATCATGGGAGTCAAAGCTGCTGATAATGAAACATGCTTGAAACCCAATTTTTCAGCCAGTTTACCCACAATCAATTCATGCTGTGGGTAAGTATATGAATGCATCAAAACAACAGCCAAACAATTGATCCCTTTCTCCAGCAAGGTTATCAGCAAAGGCTTCAGTGCTTCTTCATTGGGAGGCTTCACAATTCTGACAAGATCACCAGATATTCCCCTGACTAAATTTGAAGAAGAGCCTTCTCTTTCTTCCTGTTTATCATGAATAAGCTCAACTCTTTCATCTACCTCTATCACCTCCTCATAGAGATTTGTTGGTTTTGTTACAGTGAGGTCAAATATATTGGGACGAGCCTGGTTGCCAATGTAAAGCAAGTCACGAAATCCCTGAGTGACACACAATGCAATTCTTTCTCCTTTTCTCTCCAAAAGTGCATTTGTTGCTACTGTGGTGCCCATCCGAATCCACTCGATCTTGTCAGTTGGTATTTTTGAATTTCTAGGAATTACTTCTGCAGTATATTCTTCAAGAATTCTCCTAATTCCTTCCACTGGTGCATCATCATAGTTTTCAGGGTCAACTGACAAAAGTTTTAAAACCCGACCATTGGGCTGACCAGGAATTTCTGCATAGACATCTGTGAATGTACCACCTCTGTCAATGCAGAACCTTAACTTCCCTTCATTGCAACTTCCCATTTCTAGTCACTGTGCTTATATATCAGATATCAATTCAGAGAGAACACCCTGCAACAGAATTCGTTTCAATGATTCATCATTGAAGTTGTGCAAGAAATTCTAATGAAGAAGTCAATAAAACAAGCAATAAGCAGAAGTTTGGGGAAAAAAGGGGCAGCATTCAAATTTGTAAAAATGATACAGAATCACATTGCGAACAAATGAAAACTAGAATGGTTCAGTGAACTGGACAAAAATAAAATATACATCCTAGTTCAAAGTTCATGATCAATTAAGGCTATTGCCCACAGTTCCGCACGCCATTTGTGTATTAGAAAAGAAGCAGGCACCATGATATTTTTCTTTCTTCTTTTATGTGGTCATCATGAGAAAAAGAAACATATTTTAGATTAATGATCCATTTACTAACCAGATGCCTCATATATTAGATTTCTGGTTAAAATATTGTGACTTGTTCAATTACGATGAAACCAGATTCTTCTTGACTGGCAATTAAGCAAAAATTTGCGGAACCCAAAGATAGCTTTTAGTCTTGGTACAGTGGGGAACCACTTTTGCGGCCAGAGCACCAGTATAACTTCATTTAAAATGGTATATATGTCACAATATACTTAAAGATGGTCATATTTTCTTATCTCCGAATACAAATCACAGAAATTGGATTTTGTGATGAGCAAAAGAGTGGAAAGACAGATGGAGAGTGGAAATAAATTATACCATTCTACAAACAGTCTCCATGTAGAGCCAATTTTCTTTTAAAGAAAAAAAAAAAAAGAAAATTTGTTGAGAAATTATGTTGACATAATTATAGATTTCAGAGATCTAATTTATGTGTCTATACTGCTCCAGCAATACTTCTCAAGTTAAATTTGTGGAACTGAATCCTAGAGCACCTTGAAATCTCCAAAATACAGAGTTGCAAGACTTAAAATTTTAATTAATGCAGTTACAAGCAGAAACTTTTCTGCATATCCGTATCTCATCTCCATTTCTAATGTCATTTTAACTCCCTATCAGAACTGCCCATTGGGAATCACATAACACTCGCTTAAATCTCCAAAACTTAGATAAAGTTATTCAGGAGTTTGACGATAGTTGTTTCTACAAATAAATATATGAAGTGACCTTCTTGACAAGAGATGTGATGGTGAGATGTGAAAATACTCACGTTTTATGTTTTTTTACTTGAACCTTAAAGCAAATATGTGAACAACCGTCTCTGGATGTTTTTACATATGATTGTCAATTTAGTGTATTTTGCATAATTGGTAAAGAATTTCTTCCTGAGAGTCAGCCCAAACTGTATATGCTCAAAATGCATTTCACAAGATATCCAAACATAAGCTTAACTACTAACAAACATATAACCACAATATGAAACTTACAATTAAACATAGCGGATAAAGCAACAGCTCGATATTACTTAAGCAGCAACTCTATATCTGCATAATAGAGAAGCTGATAAGTTATCTTCTGATGAAGAAGCAAGAAGTGATGAGATTGGACTAAATAACTACTCGAAGTGCAACGAAATGACTAAGTAATCAAAAACCATTTGATGATTTAGAAGATGATAAAAATAATCACAAAGCAAGATCTTAGTTACCTTATCTAATGTAAGAACAGCTTCAAATTGCACCACCACAATAGTATATACTAGCATTTTGGATCACCAAGAGCATTTTTTTTCCAGATTAATAACATAGCAATGAAGTAAAATAGTGGTTTCATGAATTAAACAATCGCTGTACAAAGGAGTTCCCAGTTCCAGTGTCCCACCAAGCAGAGTGAATTGAAGCTTTGGATAGATATTAGTCTTTCATTGCATATGAGGCAGCTTCCGGAAGCAATTATTGCAAGGAAAATTAAAACTGCAGAAGAGGACATGATCGTTTTTGAAGTATTTGTGGGGTTGACGTGATGATTGTGGACTTATCATCTGTCGCTTTTTCAAAGATCATCTTGAATTTGATGAGTACCCCGTAAATGACTCCAAGTCATAATAATAAGTGACATAATTTTATGCATCTTAATTCTTAATCATCCATATCAGTATATCACATTAGAAAATAGTTTTATTTTTCAACTCCAATCTTTGTCCGAATCTTATCTTATCTTATCAAGTTTGAAGAGGGAGAGAGAGAAAGGAGAAGAAAATGAAAGAAGGGCACTCTGCAATTATTGGCACTCATTGAACTGGCACAAATTAAATATTCATCTTCTTTAATTGTGAGGGCCGAGCAAGTTCTCGTCTTTTAGCTTCCTTCCTTGGTAGCTTCTAGCTTGTGGCCTTTCTTTTTTCCTAGTAGCCTTATCTTACATCTTCTCTTTATTAAAATTTTATGACTACACTTTCTTAATTTTTTAAATCGGGCTCATTAAAACTTTTCTTCCCCTCCCCTCATACCAAACATAGGGTTAAGGTAAGTGCAGGTACACATATTGGCACAATCAATATAGTTTGACATAAAGAGTGCGGGTTTCTATGGTCTTTGCAAAGCATAAGTGGTATGAGTTTGATGGACATTAGTAAGAAATGAAATGAAAATTTTATATTGATCTTTGTTATATCATGTAGTAGTGTTCAAGGCTGACCCGTCCCAGTTGGCTCGTTTTGGTCCCGGTCTTATTGAGACAGAACGGGTCGGTCCTGAAATTTTTCAGAACGGGACAAATCGGGATGGGACAAAAAAAGGGACAGGGACGAGACGAGACGAGACATGGGACAGGATCGTCCCATCCTGGTCCCATCTCGGACCCTTTTATTTTTTTAAATTTTTTATCCTATTTATATAATATCATTTTTTTCATATTTTTTTTTTAAGATTTGAGGCTATTGTATGGAACTATAAATATATTTATTTAGAGCTTTTATATTTGTTGATGATTTGAGACTATTAATGATTAGAATTTTTAACAAGTTGTTATTGTGTTAAAAGCTTTTGTTTAGAGTTTTTAATGACTATGTATGTAATATTTTGAGCTTTTGTTTAAGAGTGCCCAAAGAAAACAAAAAAAATGTTTGTACAAGACCTAAGTCAAAAAAACTACAATTAGAAAAAAGAAATCAGATTTTATTAAAAAAATTTTAAAAAAATTTGGGACGTCCATGTCATGCCCCCTCCTGACCGGGACTGGGACAACAGCAGGACGGGACGGACACGGGACAGATTTTCTGTCCCGTTACTGTTCATCGGGATGGAACCAGGACGGGCTTGTCCAGGTCCCGATCCGTCCCGTGAACAGTCCTAATTATCATATTTGTTATATCTTTAAGGTAAATACTAACAAATGAATAGTTTAATGGCTAACTAATGCATTTTACATTTAGCTAAAAGCAAATCTTCTAAAAATAGAGTACTAAGTTTTGATTATTTTTTTCTTAGAGCTGTTACTATAAGTTTCAAACTAATATGATTGAGAATTACATAAGCATCTAAAAGGGCTTCATTGTGATAGGTTAATAACTTAACATGCATTCATATTACGCATGAGTCATAATAGTACTACCTCCGGTCTTAATTATAAGAGCCAGTTGACTAATTTGAAGAGATTACGAAAGTAAGTTGAGTTAGATATTTGTCCTAAATAGGTGTTGTTTTTCCTAAAATATTCTTACTAATCAAGTGTATTGACTAGAACTATTATTGTTAGAAGGGCTACTTTGGAAAAAAAAAGTATAAATATGAAAGACAAAGTGGATTGGGGTCTTATATTTAGGACTAAAATAAAAGTCAAACAGGATCTTATATTAAGGACTGGAGGTAGTAGTTTAGTGATATTTTTAAATTACTTATTAAAAGTCAGGAGCAAGCACTTAAAGTCCTTTCATGTTAGGCTGGTTGAGCAGCATGTTATTATTTAAATAATTGTATTGAAATCACGCAGCATAAAGTGGCTGTAGTTTAGTGGTAAGAATTCCACGTTGTGGCCGTGGAGACCTGGGCTCGAATCCCAGCAGCCACATTGCCTTTTGCATTTTGTTCTGTTTTTGGCCTCGGAGAAATTTCGAGGCCAACGACGACGTTTCTCGTCTGGTCAGCGGGCACTGCTACAAGCTTTGTGCGAGTCAATACATTCTCACAGTTCCAGCCTTCCAGATTCAGAGGGTCTGAGAGAAACCTCAAGACAAGCCTCAAGGTGACTTTTTGGGCGACCCCCAACTTGTTTCTCGCTTTCATATTTTTTATTCCCTTCTTTGGGTACTCTGTTTCCGTTCCCAATTCTTGGCATCGGTGCCAAACAGGAAAAAATTAGTTTTCCCTCGAATTTCCGTTCTGATTGGACGTTGTTTCATCTTCATTCATTTGAAAATTTTGTCATTTTCATGTTCAAGTTCAACGCATTTTTAAAGATCTAGTGATCTTGGAATTAAAATCAGTGCCATTGTTATCCAACGAGTTCATACCGAAAACTATCTTATTTTGGATCTGCCCAGTTGTGGATTTTGACATATGTGCAGCTCATTTACTATCCTGCGAGAGAAATTAATTTGTACTATCTCCCCTCGTTAATATAAGATCCTGTTTGATTTTTATTTTAGTCATAAATATAAGATCCCAATTCATTTTGTCTTTCATATTTATACTTTTTTTCCAAAGTAACCTTTCTAATAATGATAGTTTTAGTCAATATATTTAATTAGTAAGGATATTTTAGAAAAGATAACACCTATTTAGGACAAATAACTAACTCAACTTACTTCCTTAATTTGTTTAAATTAGTCAACTGGCTCTTATAATTAGGGCTGGAGGTAGTATTAAAGCTTTTGGCTAAGTATTGTAGGATTCTTTATGGTATTTAGTGAAGGAGGTGCCTATCTTGAAGGATTATTTATCATTTAAAGGGGATCTTGTATGGTTTGAATTGAGGTATTCAAATGTTTTCGGAGCTCATTGGGATGTTTGGTACTTTTTAATGGACTAATTATTTTTTCTGCTCTCCAGGAAGCAAAAGATGATTGACGATCAAGGCTTGGGTTTTATTGCCAATTATCTTGGCATTTTCATTTTTGCTTTGGTTATATTATACCATTTGGTCACAGCCGACCCCAAACATGAAGGCAGCTAGGCATTTTCATTTTTGTGATGCACTTTGATGCACTGAAATTTGAAGTTTGATTTGGTTTTGTTGACTGATCTGTTGCATCATTATGTATAACTTAATCACAATGGAATAGTAATGTCGTGACTTCTGCCAACATATTTTTCAGTTTTAGAGACATGCGCTATGTATGGCAGTAGTTTTCTTTTTCCCATTTATTAATCCATTTTGAGGACTAATTTTTCATCACTTGCAATCTTAGTTGATAAGGTGAATGTTTAGATCTATAAAGCATGGACTCTTCAGAAATGAGTCCTGTTTCTGTTGCCACGTATTGGACAGTTGTATTAGACACGATATGATGCTATGTGGCATTTGGAATTCCATGCGTATCCATGAAATATCCTAGTTCCTAGGTTAGACAGATTAGGAATGTAAAGTAATCATTCCCCTTCCTAATATGCTTATATATAATACTCATATTAGCTAAGACTGGGAATTATTAGAGCAGCTCTTCAATCAGAATGGACTTCAATATGTCTTTTTCAAAAAATGAGCCAACCTGATTATTAGCTAAGGATGAGAATGGCTTGTAGCAGTTGGGGTTGAATAGAACATCTAGAACCAACTGTTGATATTCATATGAAATAAGAGAAAGCTTGGTCTTTATAATTGGTTAGAGCACTTCAGAAAGTCACCCTTGATAGCATATGTATCACTTCACTCCATGTTACTATCTACCGATTTTTCCATGCATAAATCTGTTGGCACATCCACTCTGGAATAGGACATAAACATGAACTAGCGGTAAATATATGAGATGTCCATAACCAAGTACTGGAGATACTGTAAGTAAAGTAAGGCCGTGGCTGCAGTAAACAATTTGAGAGGGATTGTTTACTCTCCTACACATACCTGCCAGTTGCAACTGTAGGGTATACTATATAAGCACATTGAGGAATAGGAGGGAGGTACCCACTCAACCGCAGGGATTTTTTGTGGTAAGTGGGGGAGAAGGATGGAAGTTTGAGAATTGAAGGGATATTCGGAGTGGTAATTGGTGGGGGCAACCTGTACACTGGTCACGTAGGCACTGGCAAGAGAGGAGGAGTGTTTGGCGCTGGGAAGTTGCCCAAACCAGGCAATGGTGGTGCTGAAAATTTCCTATTGGCTTGAACCTTGCCAATGCAATGATGGAAAGCGAAACAACCAAATAGGCAGGTGCCATTTGAGTATGAAATCAAAGACTTGCAGGTCAAGTAGCCAAGTATTTAAGTAAAAGGGAAAGCCATAGGATTGGTGGTAGACTTTTGTTTTTCTCATAGGGCAACGTGGGGGATAATGGCTATGTTTTGGGAGCAGTTAGAAATGTACCTGAAGTCTATTTTCTTAGTTAACAGGATGGTTTAATGCTCTCCCCTGTCATCTTTTTATTCTCACATCGGTTAAGCAAATCGTAGGGTTGAACAATGTATTTTAGGTACGGGCTTGAATGCAAACCAAGTTCTTACTTCTATTTTCCATGAAAAATAATTGCATTTTTAACAGAGTTATTTGAATTTTAGATGAAATTAAATATGTGGCCGTGATCAGTTCTACTCAACCACGTCATGGAGTGATGAAATCACGTGTGCACTTCTACTCAAGCGTGAACGATTACATTCTGGATGTGATATCAAGCAACCCTTAGATTGGATATAGCTTTGATGGTAAGGGCGGAAGTTCTTAGACTTCCTACAACCAACAAGCTTTAAATGGGAAGTGGCAGTGTGATGAAACAGGGGAATGCTCAAACAGAACAATACTAACATCTTATATACAACATTGAGTCACACTCAATAATTCAATATCAATATTAAAGGTAATATCTCAACAGTATATATCAACAATCGGAAAATTAAGAAAGGGTTAGTCTTAAGTATATTAGGATTATGCAGGTGAGAGTAAACCTATGCTTCGGCCTAGTCGTACTTCTATTTCTGGGGTAGGATGATACCACACAGCTTGCCTTGGTGATATGCACAGCACGTGTAATCATCAGAATGCTAAGAGGAACTCACTGGCAAAGAATGCAAATAGTCTGATTATCTAAATGGATTAAAAAAAAAAAGATTTTTCCATCTGATTCTAAGTGGTTAATGGGCATCTTTTGGGGGTTTTCAGATCCCCTCAATTGAGCATTTTTCCCCACTCTAAATTGAGAGATATTAGCTGTTTGAACATGATCTAATGGTGTTAAGGGAGGAGTTACAAATTTATTTTCTTAAAAAACAATAGTCTTTAATTGTAATTTCTCCTTAACACCGTTAAATCACAATTTAATGGTTAATAACCGTCAACTGAGGTTCAGTTGAGATGTCCAAATCCATCTTTAGGTATATTCACGAGGAAATAAGGTGCTTTAGGGGACAAAACACATCAGAGGTGGGAGAACTTAATAGGAATTTGAAAAGCCGACGCATTTTAAATCCTCTAACATTCCATTTATGTACACTCAATTAATTTTTTTTTAATTCATCTCTTTCTTTCAATAGTACTACCTTCGATTCTAAATATAAGAGTCAGTTGACTAATTTGAATAGATTCAGAAAATAAGTTAAGTTAGTTATTTGTAATAAATATGTGTTGGTTTTCCTGAAATATCCTTACTAATTAAGTTTATTGATTAGAACTACTATTATTAGAAGAATTATCTTGAAAAAAATGAGAGAGACAAAGTAGATTGAAATCTTATATTTAGGATTAAAATAAAAATGAAACGAGGTTTTATATTAAGGACATGAGTTAGTGTATACTATTAGATTTTATATTTGGATCCGGAGGAGATAGTATAATATATATAAAAAATTAATAGATTAATTATTACATAAAGTTCAAATACACAACAGATCCTATTGGAAACTCCGAGGACTTGAAGTGTTCTTGAGCTGGGCTTCAATTGATGGCCAATCGTCCTAACCCGATCCATGTACCGCTGTACAAAAAATTGGACACGTCAACTTGGTCGTCAATATTCTATCCAAAAGAAACACGATCGTCAATAAAGCCGCTCGATTGCAGTGCAGAGAAGCAACTCAGACTCAACTTCTATTTTGGTCCTTTAACCGCTGAAATGCCATTATCCCGAAGTTATAGCATTCCCCACATGGCCCCATCCTCAACAGAAGGGCCACACACTAACTATAGTAACGTACTGAGAAAAGAAAACTTTCATCATTCCATACTAACCTTGATAAGTTTTTGGGGGGTGAAAGTAAAGTGAAAGCAGCACATTATAGAGATTTCTTAACATGAATTGAATTACAATATTTTATATATTGTACAGAACTACATTATTCAGTCCATTCTTCTTATCTCCTTCAAGGATACAAGCACATACAACAACAAACTTCTGAAGAGAAATACAGCCAGCCACTTTTATGGAAGGAAAAAAGTAAAGTCAACTCCAAAACATTGTATCTTTGACTGCGAATCTGCCACTTTGCTCCATTTTGGTATTCTTGTAATCCAATGTCCACTTCTCAAATGTACACTCGGTGAAGTCATAGTAACCCCCGTGAATAGAGAGTTCCCCATTCGCGACCTTTGTTTCTATCCATGGGTATGTAAGCAGGTTTGATAAGGAATTGTTAACTGATTCCTGTAAAATAAACATTATTAGTTGGATTATATCCAATTGTGGGAAAAAGAAAATTATCCTAATGGAGCCTATCCAAAGTGATCCCAATTTGACACACAATGAACAGAAGCCCATTTGTTTATCGGGGAATGCAGGAGACATTTTCATGAGTAAAATGAATAGGCATTTGAATTCCTGAAATAAACTCAGGCTCAGGACCATTGTAAAGCAATGTTGCGTATGGATTCTCTAAAATATGGTTCTATGCTTCAGCAGATTTTGGAGCACTGATTAAGGCATCCATGAGAGCACTAATTATTCTCAAGCCTGATTATTTCATTGGGAACGCTGAAGACCCTAACAGGTGCTTCCATGTCATCTCTCCAAAAGTTAAAACTTCCCTAGCAAGGAGAATCAGAAAACGAAGACAAATAACGTCTTGCAGAGCAGAAAAAGGTCACATATTCACCTGAACTAATTAGACAGAATCATAGAACTAAGGATTGACTTGAAGATCACTTTTCTTCCATCAAGAGGTGCCCACTCATCCTATGAGGCACTATCATGATTTATCTCGCATTCTAACCCCAGATAAGCACAATTCATTGTATTATTTAACATTTTGAAGTTTCAGCAAACAAATGGAGTTACAAGGTAAATAATATGATTACCTTCTCACAGTGCCTGCACTTCTGCTCGAAGTCGAGAGAAGAAGCAGTAGCCTCAGTTTTCATTCTCGCATTCTTCCCAACTACCACCCAGCTTTTGATAAAGCTGATGAGAAATGAAAACTATAACCAAGTGAGACACGTATAACACAACATTACCAATGAAGGGAAAATGACAGCCTATGTCTAGAATTATGCAAGTCAACCTTGCATTTGTGTCATCCTGCATGCTCATAAGGGCATAAATTCCCCCGCAGCAGCTGTGGCCAATGACCATGATATTCTCAACCTGCCAGATAGAAGCATACAAAGTCAAGGTGTTGTGACCACTGACCTGCTAACCTTACAAATACTTACATATTTAGAGTAAGAATCTTATACACTGAAATCTCTCCAGATATTTCACAAGTTCACACAACCCCAAACTATAATAGCCTCAATTTTTTTTTTTGTTGAAAAAAAGTAAATGATATGTTATTAGTGGATATTAAATTTGACTATGCTTGAAAATGGTCTCAATTATGCTAATAATGTTGTAGCAGTTAAATGATATAGCGAAATCTTAAATTCTTACCGAGTCCCTCCCAAGATGTGTTTATCATAAGATCAGTAAGTATTGTAACCAAAATCATCTTTAACCCTGCTGCTGATTCATATGACTCACGACTGTGAATTGAAGTCTAATTATTATTATTTGACCTAAGTGTACTTCAACATTACAGCTGAGTTCCACCAATTAAGGAAGCTAGACTTGTCAAAGCAAACAAGCACACAGGTGAATAATTGGCAGCGCAAAAAGATTGTAAATCGTTGAATAGTAGTATTAAATAGTACTTTGCAAGAAAAATGTGCTTACTTTAAGGGAATTCACAGCAAATTCTAATGCAGCATTTGTTTCAGAGGGTCCACTCTGTATCATGGAAGAATGAGATTAGAAGGGTTAAGTAAGCAGAGTAAGCAGAGTAGCCCTCTCCGCCCTTCAGTGACCATCCTAAATATTTGAGGTAGATATCCAAGATAAATCATTTTCAAAGGTAAACATACCTCAAATGGAGGTACCAAATTAGCAACATTACGAATAGTGAATGCCTCTCCTGGTTGAAATCCCAGTATATTAGAGGGACAAACCCTAGAATCTGCACAAGCAATAACCATAAACTGTTCTAGAAATTGTTAGACAATAATCAAGAGAACTGTATCTAGCAAATGATTCAGTAGACAGATTGAAAGAATAGACCAATACGTTTCCGGGGAAAAAAGAATAAACCGAGGAACCAAAAAGCAAACCACTAATTATTAAACAGCTAAAACCTTAGCCAAAAGCAGGGGAAAGAGAGAGGGTTCAATTACCTTCGGTGCCTGACCGTTGGCCAGATTTTGGAATTGCTCAATGTTTTTCCTGTCAAAAAACAAACCACGTTAACAAAGTTTCTCCTCTTTTCGGGTATCAGAAGGAAACAATTGAACCAGTGTTTTCTGAAGCTTACAAGTAGTTATTCTTCTTAAAACCTAAAAACCTGTCCCTGATATTATGAAATATGTCACACCCATCTTCAGCCTCAGTTACAGTCGCTAGCTTCTTGTTTTCAAGTTGTTGAGTAAATCCTGAAGGACCCATAGAAGCCCTTAAAGATAAACTTTGAGTGCTCCTGCAAACATCAGAGCAAGATGTGCCGCTGAGCTTCATTTCAATAGTTTTGCGCCGATGTTCTGGGGTGAGTTAGTAAGTTATGTTACTAAAACAATATTCCAGTTACAGTAACAAGAGAAGCTTGCCTGAGTTAAATATAATGAAATCTGTACCAGTGATGACTCAAGAACACAATTCCTCATCTTCTCTAAACTTTGTACTTTCGTATAACAACTGGTGCTTTAAGAGATAGAAATGAAAGAAAGAATAGTGGAGCCTTTCAATAGTTATTTTCATCCCAAAGGTTAACTTCTCAAAGCATCATCAGTTTTAATTCAAAAACGGCATTTCAGATGAACTACTCCACTTTTCTACCATCAAAATCTACAAGACCTGTCCCGTAAGCGAAACTAACCTTGAATGCGACAACAATCTCAAACGGAGTTTCTCCCCTTTCCCAGATTTCAGTTTCCGACCAAAGATCTACCAAAGAAGTTAGTGTATCAGCTCACCCACAAAAGTCCATCACAACATGGGCGCGTAGGGGATCGACCACACAAGAAAAAGATGAAAATGACATACCTTCGATGAATTCGACACAAGCCCATGAAGCTCAGCGCATGAATTGGACGAGGGAGAACGAGGATCTCGTGAAACCGAGATTGGAGCAGGAAATGCCATTTAGAAAGCTCTAAATCAAATGGGTTATCCGCCAGCAATACAAATGGAGAATTCAATGAAGCAGCCATGGAGGAGGAGGAGGAAGTATTTAAAGAAGGTGGGTAAAGTTGGTTGGTCCAGCAGATGTGGATCTGATGCCTCCAAGAAAGGCGGAGAACCCAAAGCGCAAGCACGAGAGCAAAAGAGGCGGAAAATATATACATAATCACTCATTGTTTTTTGCGTGATTGACTTTTGACAGTTCAGTCACTGCTAATTCTCCTGAGAGTTTCACGCTGACATCCCAGAATCTCCAGACACTTCGTACCATATCTTTCACTAAAAGAGTACTTGGTACGAAAAGAAAAAAATGTTATCCAACGGAGGGGAGGGAAATTAATTGGTCGGTGGTTATAGTTTGATGGATGATATACTTATTAATAGTTAATACTGTCTCCGGTTTTAATTATAGTAACCAGTTAATTAATTTGAAAAAATTAACAAAAAAAATTAAGTTAGTTATTTGTAATAAATATGTGGTCTTTCCTAAAATATCTTTACTAATCAAGTATGTTGGTTTAAAAATATAATTATTAGAAAGGACTATCTTGAAAAATTGAGTAAATATGAGAGACAAAATGGATTGAAGTCTTATATTTAGAACTAATATAAAAGTCAAACGGGGTTTTATATTAAGAACCGGAAGTAGTATATGATCTTATTTGATTTTTATTTTGATTCTAAATATAAGATTTCAATCCATTTTTTCTCTCATATTTAAGTATTTTTTCTTAAAGATAGTCTTTCTAATAATAATAATTATAACTAATAAATTTGATTAGCAAATATATTTTAGGAAAGATAATATCTATTTATTACAAATTATTGACTTGTTTCCTTAATAATTCAAATTAGCTAATACCTCTTATATTTATTTTTTAACCGAGTTGTTAATTTTTCTTTTAATGTCATTGTTGGTCGTTTAATCAAATTTAGTTTTCGTCTCTTTCATTACAACTGGTTGTTCATAAGGATTTCATTTTGATTCTTATATTTCTGGTTTTTATTAGTATAGCACTCACTCTATTGAGATATTAATTTCTTTAATTACCACATCGGTTGGACTACTCTTCTAATGCTTCAAATAAAAGAAGAGGTCTTCTGTCCAAAAAAAAAATAAAAGAAGAGGTCAAATCAGAACTTGAGATATTTCCACCCTTTAACAATGAAATGTTAAGAATTGATTAATATATAACCTAATTATTAAACTGATTTTGATTTTAAATATAGGACTAATTTTTTATATTTAATAATTTTTTTAAATTATTTTTATAGACGTTTTCTCAATCATGATCAAACAGGAGAGGAAAAGAGATAGATATTAAGAAAGATGATTATAGTATTTTAGGAAAAAACATGTCATATCTTATAACTAACTAACTTATCTAACTTTTTTAATCTAATCAAATTAATTAAATAAATAATACTCTTCCAGTCTTAAATATAAGACCCTTATAGTGTATATAAGGGTCTTATATTTAAGACCAGATGAGTGCATTACATACAACAATTGTGAGCTTCATAACGAGCTATCAGTTAAAACACATGATTGGGAAAAAAATTTTGCGATTATTTTTTTCCCCCTCGAAAAGAATGTACATGCACATGCACCTTTTCTTTGTACAAAAAAACGCAAGCAGATATAATTTACCCGAAAACACATCGTTACGCGCGCCAGAGAGATTTTTCTCAAATTTTACTGAACTTATGTTATCTGGACTGCTTTCTATTTCGGGGAAGGAAAATAAAACCAATTTTGAACAAAAAGTTGTGCTCCTGTTGAGTCTAATTTTATTTTGTACTAAAATACAGTTTCGTTAACCTAAATGCATAACTTTTTAACTGCATTTGGAAAGATGAGGCAAGCTTTTGTTGCTCATTTGTGCGTGTGTGTAGGCATGCACGTTCGTAGAGTACTTTTTTTTTTTTTTTTTAATAAAAGAAGCGTATAATGGTGATATTTGGGAGAAATTAAAACGTTGGAAGGGTGGATGTTAAGAAAGGCTAACCCACATCGCTTGATTTCCTTCCCAACCAAAAATAACTCCCAAACAATAAGGTTATCATACTTCTTTTCCTTCCCCTCCATTTTTTTTTCTTCTCCAAAACATGCCTTGAAGGCTTACTTAGCTTTGCTTGGCTATTTAAATTCTTGGAATTTATAGTTTTCTTGCTTCCTATTATGTTCACAAATAACCTTCACTACTACAGAAAAAGCTAACCATAATGTTTATTTTTTTACTTTTGTAGCATTTTCAAAATGCTATGAAAGATGTTGGAAAATTTTTTTTTTCATTTTTTTAATACATTAACTTATAGCGCTTGCATAAGAAAGTTTAGGAAGTGCATCTCCTGTGGTGTTTTCCTGAGAACGTGCTACAACAGAAGCATTTTCTGTAGTGCTTTGTCAGGAAAGCGCTATAAAACATGTAACATCCTGTAGCGTTTTTTTTTTTCTTTTGAAAAAGTGCTACAGAATATGCCTTTTTTTAAATAAATTAGTGAGTATTAGTTATGGTGTTTTGTTAAATAAACACTACAAAACAGGTGTTACAAATCAAATATTTTGTAGTAGTGCTTTTTTTCTGTCCACGAAGTATATAAGATCTTATTACCCTATCCACTTGAATCAGGTGTTGCATATGGACCGAAATGACTATTATGGATTGGCATCTGCGTCTCTCAACCTCACACAAGTTATACTTTTACGGATTACGAAGTAAATATGTGGAGGAGATTACCTCGTTTTGCGGAAAAGTGCTTCTAAAACCATGGTTTTGGATTTCCCAAACACCCCCGTAGAGTTACATCAGAAGCATGGAGCAACCTTGCTATTAATTACATTACACTGTTTTTGGCCACTTCCAATGTCATAACCTATTTTTACTCTGTAGCTATGGAAGCGTTTTAGGGGAGATGACGCGCTGCCAGGGCAACAGGGCTCCAGTAGAGAGTACAATGTTGATATGGTACCTAAGGTAATCTGGCTTTTCAATTTCCATCCCCAGCAAATCAACAGAAAATAAATTCTTGTTGGCCTTGTTCCTGCAATTTTTTAAATGACCGTACTAATATGCTATTGTACCTTGGTTGTTGCTTCTAAGTGTTAAAACATGGAAACCCAACACTTCTTCTTCTTCATGCTAACATGCTAATGGAGTTCCCACAACACTGCTTCCATAGAAAAGAAAATAGTTTGAATGCTAGGAAACAAAGCAATTTGCTTTAGCTCTCTTCAATGCATTAAATGACATTTTCCCCTATTTTCTTTGCGTTTTCTTAACTGTCCACCAAGTGGACTGTGCTTTTTGTTTGTAGGTTTGTATCCTCTATTTCCAATTCATTGTTGCTAAATGCAACTTTGCGTGTGCTTTGCTTAGTTCATTATGGGAAATGGAGCTTTGGTTCGAGTTTTGATTCACACAGATGTTACCAAGTAGTATTTGCATTTTAAAGCTGTAGATGGCAGTTTTGTCTACAATAAGGGAAAGGTGTGCACCGTATTTATCTTCACACTTGATACTTTTACTTATTGTCAAATTTACGTTTCATGAAACCTTGGATGTTTGAATGGAACCTTATGGCAGAATATCTTTATTTTTAGGTTTACAAAGTTCCACCAACTGACGTTGAAGCACTGAAATCACCATTAATGGGACTGTTTGAGAAGCGTCGAGCCCAAAAATTCTCCATTTATGTTCAAGACTATAAGGAGAATGACCCAAAATCTCATGAAGGGCTGGATTTAAACCAAGTCACTGCAAGACAGCTGATCTCGTATGCATCTACTTGCTTCACTTCTCCTTTGATATCGAGACAAGCAGTTGCATATCATCAAGATTATTCCTTGTGTTTTTGCTTCCCTTTCAATCAGGAAACAATTGTTTGTTCATCAACTTCGTTTTAGGATGCCACCATTAAAGCATTGCTGTTGAATGACACAGTATTAACAAAGACAATATTGTTATCATCAGATTGATTTCGTGTTTTTCATTATTTCTCCACCATTGTAGAAAATAAGGGTTAGAAGATGATACAATTGATTTCATTGGCCATGCCTTGGCACTCCATACTGATGATAATTACTTGGATCGGCCAGCCAAGGACTTTGTGCAGAGAATAAAGGTGCGTGCGTTATTAGTGCTCCTATACTTTGTTGCCATTACATGAGGTGGAAAGAATGCTACTTTGTTGTTTTTTAACTTTGACCAGACAAAGAATACTACTTAAGCCCTGTATTCTTCCTCAGCTAGACTATGGTCAAAAAGTGAGATTTTTCATGCAGCCAGATAAAGCATGAAAGTAGCTAGGACAGTGCGTGTGTGTGGGGAAAGAGACTATGAGACTGGGGTTCTTCAAGCTGGGTACCTGTTCAAAGACGGTGTTACAGAAGGTTGTGAAAAATTTGTAATGGAAAGATAGTAGAACCATCAACAACTCACTTTGGGGAAGATTAGCCAAATTCCTTCTCTTTTTCTTTTTTTGTGCTAGAAAAAATCTCGTTGTTAATGAGGGGAATAGCAACCATCACATGCTCCAAGTGTCTTCACTCTAGCGCATTTCAACTTCTCTGTGATGCTAGTACCGTGATACTAATCTTTGTATGGCGGTATAGAAGCATCTTAAAATTGTGATAAAGGAACTATTGACTTATATCTATGGAGAAAAATCTTTGATGTGTTATGGTCAATGGACAACAACATTGAGAAGCAAATATTTAGATTATAGTTGTTTAGATATTATTTTATATCTTCGGTTTTTTTTTTCCTTCAGTATTTCTCTTCATGAATCCAAGCACAAGTTTCTAGATCATATATTCATCCGGGATAAGTTTTGGTTTGGCTATGTTGCTCTAGAATACACCTTAATTCCTCAGGCTTTCTCTCTCTTCATGAGGTTTTTCGTTAGCGTTTTGCAAGTAAAAATATTGTTATTTCAGTCGCTCATAGTCCCTTGGGGACTCTTCAAAGTATTTTGTACTTTTGATTTGTTTCATACAGCTTTATGCAGAGTCCCTGGCACGATTTCAAG